TCCATCCTAACCCAAGCCGCCTCTCCCAGATTGTTACAATCACTTCCTAACTGGCTGAGCCATGGCCAGACTTTCCTTCTTCTAAGTGAGGTCGCTTTGTAAATGTAGATTGGATATGCCACACCTCTGCTTAAAATACTTGAGGGGCTTTCAGTGTCTTTCAGAATATCACCTCTCTTTCCATTACAAGGCCCTGTTCAGTCTCTAGCCTCCATTTCTCCCATGCTCTCCCCAAAACCTGCCACTGTCCTTTTCTTCCTTAAATGTGCCATACCATTTCCTGCCTCAGGGACTTAGCTCCTGTGGTTTGCTCTGCCAGATAGTCCTTCTCAAGCTCTTTGCCCAACTGGCCTTTGCTCATTTTCCAGCTCCAGCTTAACACCATATTTCCTGGGGAGGCCTATCTTCCCAACCTAAAGACACCCCCCCATCCCATCATCATCACTCACAGTCCTTGTTCGTTTGCTTTGTGGCATTTATTACAATGTAATGGCATTTATTACAATGTAATCACATTTATTACAATGTAATAAATGCTACAGCTAGTATGCCTATGTGACTCTGTGCCTACAGCCTGACTTGCGCTCTCTACTGTCAGTTTGTTTTGTCACCATGGTATCCCCAGGTCTAGCATGGCACCTAACCCATAAAAGGGTGCAGTATACACTTGTTGAATAATCCGAATCCAGAGAAACTAGGCTTGTCCAATTTGTGATGTAACTCAACCTTAGATTCCCATAGAAAGGTGATTATATTTCATTTGATCTAGTGAACCTACTGAAACATTATCTCCTGAAATATCACGAGACGAGAATGGAGACCCAAATTCAAGACACTACTCAACACTCTGAATTTACTAGTCTCAGTTTTAAGGGGAATATAAAATACCAAAAACCTTTGCTCTCAGAGTATTTGGTAGTCTCCCCTAGAAGAGTAGATATATACCAGAAACACTTGGAGAATCATTTAAAGAGAGAGTATGTTCAAATATCAAAATTAAAGAATCAACCATAAGTAACCTCAAATTAAAGGCAGAAGCCAGTTGGGCACAGTGGCCAATATATCCATTTATATATTATAATCCCAGCACTTTGGGAGGCCGAAGCGAGTGGATTGCCTGAGCCCGTGGGTTTGAGACCAGCCTGGCCAACTTGGCGAGACCTCATCTCTACAATAAATTTTTAAAAATTAGCTGGGTGTGGAGGTGCACGCCTGTAATTCCAGCTACTTGGAAGGCTAAAGCAGAAGGATTGCCTGAGTCCAGCAGGTTGAGGCTGGGGTGGCTGTGAGTGTGCCGCTGCACTCCAGCCTGGATGACAGAGTGAGACTCTGAGACTCTGACACACACACACACACACACACACACACACACACACACACACACACACACACACACAAGGCAGAAGCCATCTGCGAAAGTTGAAGCAGATGGAGACTTCATGAAGAAAAAAGATTCGAACTGGGCATCAAAGACATGAAGGTTTGCAGAGAGGAGGGGAGAAATACCCAGAACAGGGCAGGAGTGAGCACATGTCCTAAGGAGGGATATAAAAACAAAAGCTGTCAAGGAGCAAATGCGGACACCACAATCACAGTTCTGTAACCCTGTCTTCAAGGCACGAGATACAGAGAAGGCCAGAAAGAGCAGTTCATTTGGAAGCCATCAAGATGTTTTGGTTTTGATTTTTAACACTGTAGTTTGTAAACAGCAACAGAATACTCTGTGTTTTCAGATGCCAATTCAAAATTTCAAATATACACGTATTTTCTTGCCCAACAATTTTTCTTCTTATATTTTAACCCAAAGAGAAAACTTTCAGTGTTCAGATTAAAGGTATAAGAACCTAAGAAAGAAAAATGAACAAAGCCTGGGTAGCATGGAATAGAATTAGCCACATGCAGTGGGATAAGTCCAAAAATAGGATTTAGAAAAAGCAACTGGAGGAATACCGATCAGAGGATGATATATCACACAAGGACAGATTGTGCACAGGCCACCCAAAACAGACCTGCCCTTTACAGGATAGCCTCAGTCTTTAAAAAGATAATATTTTCAGCCCGGCTCGGTGGCTCCGCCTGTAATCCCAGCGCTTTGGGAGACTGAGGTGAGTGGACTGCCTGAGCCTGCAGGTTCGAGACCTGCCTGGGCAACTTGGCAAGACCTCATCTCTGCAATAAATCAAAAATTAGCCGGACGTGGTAGCATGCGCCTGTAGTTCCAGCTACCTGGAAGGCTGAGGCGGAAGAATTGCCGGAGCCCATCAGGTTGAGGTTGCGATGGCCGGGAGCAGCCACTGCACTCCAGTCTGGGTGACAGAGTGAGACTCCAACTCAAAAAAAAAAAAAAAAGATACTATTTTCACAAACAATCTCCAGTTAGAAAACGTTATTAGCTCATGTACAGAAAACAAATTGTCTCATTTCTAGTTTATGAACACTCCAAGAATATAAAAGAGAAACATCTGTCTCTTCATCCTAAGCCAATATGAATTAATTTTGTGAGTACACCTTTTAAAAGAAATTTTATTCTCAATACTCCTTCTTGACTTTTTATTGTGTCTTTTCTCCTGGCATCGTCGTCTCTGGAACATTGCTTTGGGGAGCATAAGTGTCAGCAATATCTGGTTCTATTTTAAGCTCAGGGAGAAGCACATGTATTATAAGTAGAAACAGGGAAAAGGAAAATAAATGAAAAGCCTGCTGCAATATATTTAGTTGTACTTGGATTGTGTTTTAAATTAACCTGCAATTAGGCTACAAAACTTCCCATTCTGAAGGAATTCACCTGAAGAAGAAAAGAAGCAGAAAGAAGACACCAGAAGCTTACAAATGTACACAGAGATTTTCTGCCATGACTGTACATACCTACAAGCTTTCTTTGTAAAGGCAATTATAGTAAAGTATAATAAAACAGAAACAAACAATTGTGTACTTGACATAGAAGATGAGATGCCATAGGTATTCAATGACTATTCAATTCAATACAGGAATTAATTACTCTGAAGCCAAAATTACCCCTGCCATGCTTTAAGCAAAATGCTTGTTTCTTCCTAAATGAAGCAGACCACCAGGATCTGAGGAATTAATTCTTCAAAATCTCCATCCCTGGGAGTCATAAAGACCTCACACAAGGCAAGGGATTTATACTGGCTGAACCACACAAAGAAATGATCTTTCAAGTTAAGATATTAATACAGTACTTCCTGCTTAGACTGTTCTCTTGCTTTTTAATTGTAATAGTAACTTTCATAAACTTCCTAAGGTCTCCTAGCTCATGCAGAGATCTCAAGCAGAATTTCAGGTATACAAGACACAGAGCTTCCTTCACTGACCACTACTGTCTGTGCTGTCTGCCTTCCAGGGCTGAAGAGCTAACTATGAAGAGAGGCCTCTGCAAAACAGAGGGAGCTGTCAGAACGAAAGACGTTAATGTAGTAGTCCTCGGGTGCAATCTAGCTTTGTTCATGAGTTTAAGCTGAGGAAATATGGGGCTAATGTATGAGTTCAAGACAAACTTAAATGTCCCCCAGAGTGATACAAGTTCAGAGAGTATGTGCACCCACTGCCCATGATGGGGAAGAAGAGGAGTGTAAAGATATGGGGTTTCTCACATAAAATTATAGCCCTAGCATGCTGGAATTCAACCATTCAGGGAACACTCTCATCTCTTGAGTGTGTGAAAATAATAGTAGAGAAAAAACAGTGCCTTCTGAGGGTGAAAGGAAGGGAAGGAAATAAGAACCCCAATAAAGGAAAGGGCTCACAGATAGGGAAGGAAGGCTCAGAACCATTCTTTTGTACTTTTTTTTTTTTTTTTTTGCACATCTCTGCATAGTGGAAGTAAGGCAGGCCAGAATTCCCCATCTCCAATGAATTCTCCATCAAGCCAATATAAACAAGCAAAAGATTCCCTGCTGTGGGTTCTTAGAGTCTAATGTAATGGACTCAAACCAGTTAAGCCAAAATCAAATCTGTTCTGGGAAGCCACAGCCCTCTGACTTTGAGAGTTCTGCCAACAATGACCTCAGGCAGAAGAGAGATCAAACCATCAGTTTCCCTTCTGGAATCCTCTGAAGCCAAGATCTTTGAAGACAGCTGCTGTTTTGGGGTTCAACTCTTCCTAAGGTGGACGCCCCAGAAACTTCCGTGCCAAGAATTTCACCAAATACTTGTACTTCTCCCAATGTCCCTGTTTAGGTTCTCATCCAACTTCCCTGAGGGTGGCTCAGAGCAGTTAGTTTCCCCAGACAGTTGTCAGCAGGGAATTATCTGGCAGGACCCAGAACAGGACCTAGAGAACTTATCAAGGTGAGATCTGGCAAGATGGAAGGCTCACAGCTACAGAGAAATATATTAGGGAGCCCATCAGCCAGGAAACAGCTCGCTGATAAGGTTATTATTCACGGAGAACCAACATAAAGTGAAGCAGGACCTGGAATTGGGGACCAAGAAGGAAACTGGAGTCTTCCATTCATGAGCTTATCTGACAAAAGGAATATCTTTAGAAATCAATCCTCTACCCAAATCCCAATTTCAGGTCACATGAAATGGTGATATTATTAATTTTTTTGAAGATCATCAAGCAAAGAGGATTACTGAGAGTTTCCCTTGTTCTATTTGCCTAGAGTCATCAGTTTAATGAGTGACTCTGAGTCCTACACCTTGTCTGTTTTCTCTTCTCCCCTCTACATACCAACATTAAATGCTACAGAATGCATAATTTTAAATTAAGTCAAATTTAATTTTTGCAATAGGATTTCTTCATTTTAATTCACAAAACACAGGGTGCAACAGGTTAAAGCAAAGAACAATGGAAATTTAGAATGGAGAGGATAAAGAGGTGAGTATTAACAGTACATAGTTGTAGATTTTTATATCCATGGCATCAGATTAATTCACACAAAAGAAAATATCTACTTTAAAGTTCTACAATTTTATCCTTTGACTCCCAAAAGCATAAAAACGCAAGCAAGGCTGAAAGCACAATTTCAGGTACTTACTGATTCCTTGAAAGAGCTCTTCGATATTAATCGCATTTTTTGCACTTGTCTCAACCACGATGGCACCTATGGATTCAGCATATTCCTTAGCATCCTTCAGGGGAACCTCCCTGGAAAAGAGGTCAAACACAGAGAGAAATGGATGCTTCCTTGTAAAACACAAATAACGCAAAAGCCCAGACAAACAACTCTCGTGGCAACAGCTCCTTTACCTTTCCTATAGAATAATAACTCAATCACTCAGCCAGTATTGATATCTGGTATGGGTGAGACTCTGTAAAGTTGGAAACCTGGTCTATAGCATCCATAGAGATAAGACCTGCATATATAAAATAGTTTTCCAGGTCCCACAGAAGAAAAAATTCCAGAACAGTGGGAAAAATGAGTATGGCAATATACATTCAGCTTTCAAAGCCAGGGTTGACTTCATTTTTCCCCCCATGTCACTCAGTATTAAAAACACCACTTCAAAAACACCAAATAAATAAATAAAAAATAAAAACACCACCACCGCTGTTTGTGTATCCACGTGCTTTTGTTAAACTTCTCTTATATCATCATCCTTCACAAACCAGAGAAAGTACGTGATGTGATTTGACAGTTTGGAAATGAACATGATTATAGTTATGATGGCTATGATGCAATATAGCATAGCACATCTGGACTTTCACCTGTAAAAGAACATTCCCGCAAAGGTACAAAGGTTTTAGGACATGAATGTTATTTACATGAACAATCTAAAAAAAAAATTTATTAATCTATTTTCAATGTGACGATGCTATGTTGAATCCAAAGGGGGAAAAAAAAGATATGTTTCCTATTCTCCAGAAGTTTACTCATTTATTTAGCTAATACTTATTGAGCAGCTATTGCATGCCAAGTCCCTCTTGAGGGGGCTAGGGGAAAACACTGGGCCTGACTTCTGGGACCTACGCTTTAGAGCATGGACAAACAGAACACATGCGTGGTCCCTCTAATCCAGGGAACTGGCCACCCAGCAGCAAGTGAGCGGTAGCAGCAAGCGGGGCTCCATCTTCTGTCAGATCAGCATGGCATTAGATTCTCATAGGCGCTCAGACCACGCTGTGAACTGCACCTGCCAGGGATCTGGGCTGCACTTCTCATGAGAATCTAATGCCTGATGATCTGAGGTGGAGCTGAGGGTTGATTGCACACCCACCCCTGACCATTCATGGAAAAGTCGTTTTCCAGAACACCAGTCCCTGACACCAAAGAGTTTGGGGAACCACTGCTCTAATCCACAGCATCCTTAGCATCCTTCTGCACAACGCTGGGTGCAGAATCAACTTTTAATAACATCCAGGAATGAGCAGTACTCTCCTGCCTCTGGGCCTTTGCTCAGGTTGGCCCATCCCAAACTCACCTGCATTCTACCTAGCATCCTTAGGTAGATATCTGAAGCTCTAATCCACAGCACTGAGACATAAAGTGCTTCAGGAACAGAGGGGCAGAAAGTGATGTATTTTTATCAATGGAACCTGGGAAGATGCCTTGAAGGTGGTCACCTTAAATGTGGCCATTCAGGCTAGGTAGAATGCAGGTGAATTTGGGATAGGCCAGCCTGAGCAAAGACCCAGAGACGCTCATTCCTGGATATTGTTAAAAGTTGATTCTCTACCCAGCGCTGTGCTGGGGGTTATGGTGGATTTATAAATGAATGATAAGGTATCTGAACGGAGAGAATGTCAGAGTGGCTGGAGCCGAGAGGGAAAGTCCAGTAGGAACCATGACAGATGGGCAGGAAGGCACCCAGAGGCCACTGAGGGACAGGAGGTGACAGGCTCAGTTCCACAGTCTAGGAAAATGTGCTCAAAATGGACTGGAGTGGAGTGGGGCAGTGAGGAGAAGGATGTCGGCGCTCTACTAATGCAGCAGGTAGGAGATCAAAAAGTCCTACACTAGAGGACAACACCTGGAAGAGAAAAAGGGCAGATGCAAAATTGCAATGGGAAGGGGGAGTGAAGAGACCACATCCACCTTCTCCCCCCACCTTTAAATATCTCATACATGGTTTCAAATGGTTTCTAAAGTTTCTGAGGAAATTCTGCCCTGACATTCAAACTCCTTATGGAACCCAGGTCTTAGGAGAGGAGAACCTTTTGGTCCCAGCTGGAAAAGTGCCTAACTAGAGTCTACCGTGTTAAGGGCGATGGTCCCAAGCCTCTAACCCAGAGGAAAGAATGTCAATTGGAATCTGTATTTCCAAAGTACAGGAGAAAGCATGCCCCTAAATCTACCTTCTTCATTGTTTCTAACAAACAAGCCCCAGGCCTATGACGGGGATTATTTTTTAGTTCTTGGGCAACAATAGCTTTTACATTTGAAATAAAAAAGGAAAAGGCTTTCTCTGTTCAGTTTGACATGATATCCTATTTTTTATTTCTTCCTTGAAGTCTTTATCAAACCACAGATGCAGGGTGGGGCTCATCTGTGCCCAAATGTAGGGCATATGGGTGGCGGCATCGCCTGCTCTTCTACCTGGGCAGGGGGGTGGGGTGGGGAAGTACTTGGCAAGCAAGAATGCCCCAGAGACCCTCAGGTGAGAGAAAAATCACATTCACAGGTAAAACACTTCCTTAACTCCCTCATCAACTCCAAAGAGAAGCAGGCCGGGTTTGCCGGGATAAAGAAGAGAACAAAGTTGTCACTGAGACAGGGTCGGGCATCTCCTTCCTGAGGATGACAGTGGCTAAAAGGTGAATTCTTTCATTGTCTACAACACTAGACCCTGAAGTTGGGGGGATAAGGATGAGGCTTCTTTCACGTCTAGAAATGGGTCTCATTAAATCGACATGTCTGCATGACAGCTAATGAGAGACAGAGGAAAGGTCGAATCCAGTTCCTCTAACTGCCCACCTCCTTCCTGGTACCCACACTCCAGAGGCCACTCCTTCCATTTTTATAGACAGACAGCGTGGGGCTCAAAATATTTTCAAACTGTCAAATATAGGAGTTGGGGGTGGGGGGGGAGAAGCACAGAACAGGTTCGTTCTGAAAGACTTTGGAGACCCATAAAAGACCCCTAATGTGAACCGAGATTAGAAGAACCAACCTCCACGGAGTTTGCCAAAACATGTTCCCATTACTGTGCTATAATAAAAAATATATATATATCTGGTCTTTGCCCCTGGCTCCTGGCACTGAGCTCCTAAAACACTGAGTTTCCAGAGTGATAGGAGTATCTTTTGTTATTCATAAAAAGCCCCATTCAAACTAGGCCTGAATTTCTGACAGGGTGGGGTCCCCTAGACAGCTTCAGGATGGAGTCTGGTTGCCAGAGGAGTCAACCAACTAGAGAAACTGCTGAAACTTGCAGGCCCACCTCCAACTTCTGGGGCTGGAGATTTAATCAGTCATGACTAAGTCGTGAAGCCTCAATAAAAACTCTTAAACACAAGACTTGGAGGGCATCCAGGTTAGTGAACACGTTGATGTGCCGGGTTTGGCACACCCAAGAGGGCTGGATGCTCCTTGTCCCACCTCCACCCCTTGCCCTGGGTGTCTCTTCCATTTGGCTGTTCCCAAGCTTATCTTTAAAACAAAACCGTAACATTAAGCAAAAATGATAAGAGCTATCGTTTTGGACTAAGCTCCTGCACTAGGCCCCAACAGACCAGACTAAAAGTCAAAATGGAGTTACTCGTGCTAAAGTTCCACATCACCAAACCCCAAAACCAAGTTGTTATCTGACCTTCTGAGCAACCAGGAGAGACATATAACAGCCAATTTCCCAACCAGGCTGGTTTAAAATCTTCATTTGGCATGTAAATAAGTTCCTTTAGCTCTACACAAAACAGGTAGCCTGATGTAATAACCTGTTGTCACCTAATCTGTTATTTTTCTATTGTTCTGTCTCCCTGACCCTGAGTTACAAGAAAAGTGTCTTTGAACCAACTAACATGCTCCTTGTTCTTCGCTTCTGCTATCTTCAGTCCTTTCCTGTCTGTAAAGCCAACCTCTTCTGCTCTGCTCAAGAGAACGCTTATTCTACGTTATGGAATGAAGTGTTGCCGATTCTAGAATCAAGAATAAAGCCAATTGAGATCTTTCAATGTGTCGTTACTCGGTCCTTTGATAGTGATCATAAGTAAGTGCTTTCCTGAGTTCTGTGAGTCAATTCTCCTGAATTACTGGCTCTGAGGGTAAGCCACGGGAGTCTCCAAGATCTGTCTGCTGGGCAGAAGTGCAGGTAACTTGTGGATACTTGTCACTTGTGGCTTAAGTCTGAGATGGGGGGCAGTCTTCTGGTACCGAGCATTTAACTTGTGGGGTCTACACTAACTCTGGGTACTTAGTGTCAGAGTTGAACCGATTAGTAGGACATGCAGTTGGTGTTGGAACAATTGTTGGATGGCGTGACTGCAATCTGAGAGGAGAGTCTTGGCAAGGTGAGAACTCCCTACCCTAGAAACCTCTTGAGACATATGAAATAGGGGAACACTTGGGAATTTCTCCAGCTGCATTTAGGGTGAGGCCACTACACAGACCCCTGAGGTGGGACGGCTGCCACCCCAGGTCTTCTGTAATTACGATTACACATAGCTCTGGAATCTGGGGACTACCGTTCATTTTCGTCAACAAGTATTTAGTGAGTGTCAGTTCTATGCTGGGCATTGTGCTAGGTGTTGAAACCGATCAGTTGAAACTAGCTTACCCAAGCCAAGGTACAAACACCATCAGTTTTGAGGATAAAGACTATTTTTAGACTTTCTAGACCAAACTACAGACAGAAATCATCAAGAATAACTGCAACTAGCTAGGAAGATAGACTTGGGTTCCTCCCATCCCCACCCCCTGTGCTCCAACTTTTCAGCAGCTGACCATATTCTGTGTGATCATCGAATGTCAGCATTAGTTAGAATTTCTTCCTTGACTATCCGAAGTCCCACCCCCACCTCAGAGCAGTGGGGTGGCCAGCTATAGGCAGGCTGAGTGGTCAGGATGGAGGTTGGGACTCAGAACCAGGTTGAGTCCCTCCTAAGCCAGTGAGAGTGGGAAGGGCTGGAGAAGTGGGAAAGCTGGAGGCCACAGTCAGGCGTGGAGTTGAAAGCTGAGTGACACAGTGAAAGCAACGTGAGTCAGGATCAAG